TACACATGCGGATGAAGCTTGAACTTGATCTTTAACTATGAATTGCATGTTGCTTCACTCCACAATTCCGCCAACCTCCATTTGATATAATCGTTATGGCGTAATCCATCCATCCTCCAACGACGTCTTCAATGAGCATGACTTGGTAAACTTTGCGGAAGAAGCTTGTAATTGGATCTTTAACTTGAATTGACGTTGCTTCACTCTACAATTCCGCCAACCTCCATTTGATATAATCGTTATGGCGTAATCCATCCATCCTCCAACGACGTTGTTTGTCTACAATACATAGGAAAACACAAATACTAGACAAACAACATTAGTGGTAAATTGTTTGTTAAACATCATCAAAACAAGAAGGCCAACATAATTCATAATAGGAGCAGTGACAGGTACAAATAGAGCAGTCTTGAGTGAAGAGGTGGGAGTGTATGTTGACAAATTGAGTTATGTTATCTGCTAACGGGTCTCATAAGCAGTGAGAGCTCCCATAACTAAGGCCAAACTCGGAAAAGTAAGGCTGATGAAGTAGTTGATCAACCATAGTTGAATATTCAAGAAGGTACTAAAACAATTGATGCACCTCATGCCGCTCATACCAGGCTAGCCAGTCTTCATATGTGGAATCACATCCAGGAAGCATGGAGCGTAATTCTGTCCAAAAAGTTTGCATTTGTCCAAAGTAAGACTGCAGAGAGGAACTACCTTTGCACTGTAGAGCAATGCATTGCAGAAGATATGCCTCCTGTGCACCAGAACACTCAGTGAAATGCTCAATGAGGTGAGTCCACATGGCCCGAGCAGAGGGAAGCAAACCAATTTTGATAGTGAGACCGGAGCCAACACAGCGAGTGAGATAATCCATGACACGAAATTCCTGTAACTGTCAGTCTGAACTCTCCTTAACATAGAGATCACGAGCGGTCTGAAGATCGACTGTCAGATGTAATAGTACTGGATGAAGCAACAATGTTGATGGACGGTGGAACTGGTCCCGTACTGGTAAGATGATCAAGCAGACCAGCATCACGCAAGGCATTAGTGACAATGGTGGACCATCCTACCCAGTCACTTTGATCATTAAGGAGCCATAACAGAAAACCAAAGTTCAAGATAATAGTCTTTGAACGAAAAAACTCGAAGGTTAGAATCGAACCCGAAGGTTTAAAATAGAACCTGATTATATATATATATACATACTATTCATTTTTACTGTTCATTTCCGCCTCTGTTACTGTTCATTACTGTTCACGCTTTTACTGTTCATTATATATCTACAAATTTCTACAATTGTTTTACCAATACTAAATTAAGGAATAATAAACCTCTTTTTACTGTTCATTTCCGCCTCTGTTACTGTTCATTACTGTTCACGCTTTTACTGTTCATTATATATCTACAAATTTCTACAATTGTTTTACCAATACTAAATTAAGGAATAATAAACCTCTTGATGATCAAATCCATGATTTTAATGAAGAATCGACTAAGAGATTAAAAGATATAGAAAAAGGAAAATCTCTTGCTATAAATGTCCTATCTGATCTCGAATCACAATTTGATGATATGACCCACTCTGATCATGATTTTGACAAACCCCTAACAATCCAGAGTATAACAAAACATCCATATTCTTCCAATAATACAAAGAATTACTATAGGAGACCCACTCCTGCTGATAAGCAATTTGAAGAATTTGATAGCCAAAAAATAAGCTTCGATGGTAACTCCCTAGTTGAATGGAACCTTGATGGTTATACTGAGTATCAAATAATACATCTGTTACAAGAAATGCTTATATATGCCAATGCATGTAGACAACAAGGTAATCCTGAAAAAGATATTGCTAGTGGCATATGTTCATCCTTTTCCGGTCAATTACAAGGATGGTGGGATCAGTATCTTACGGATTCACAAAAACATAATATTTTAAATAGTTATAAAAAAAATCCCAATATGGTGAACCTATCCTTGATAAGACAGGACATGTGATTAATGATGCTGTCTATACCCTGCTCCTTGCTATATATCATCACTTTATAGGTCTTGTTGATAGCCTTCAAGATAAAGTCAGAGAACAACTCATAAATTTTAGGTGTAAAACCCTTACGGACTTTAAATGGTACAAAGATGTGTTTCTGTCAAAAAATTACCAACTACATGACCGTAATAATCCCATTTGGAAAGAAAAGTTTATTTCTGGCCTTCCACCTTTATTTGCCGAAAAGGTTAGAACTTCCCTTAAAGAACAATGTAATGGCACCATTCTCTATGATCAAATCCCCTTCGGAGAATTAATCCAAAAGGTCAACACTATTGGTTTAAAACTTTGCAACGATATTAAAATTAAGAATCAATTAAAAAATCAAAACCTTTTAGGTAAAAGAGAATTGGGAGACTTTTGCTACCAATTTGGTTTTCAAATGGACAATCCTAGGATAAAAAACAGTCATCGTAAAACAAAATCTAATTATCAAAAAACACAAAATACTAATAAAACTGAAAGAATACCAAGAAAACCTCCTAAAAGAAATTTTAGGAAAAATAATACTACAAAGACTCCTACATATTATAAATGTAAACAAAAAGGACATTATGCTAATAAATGTTTTCGAAAGGATATGAAAAAGAAGATTAACGAGTTAATATTAAACTTCGATAAATTTTCTGAAGAAGAAATCGAAAAACTTATTAATTCTTTAAATCTTATTGATGATAATTCTTCCTCTGATGATGAGTGCAACAATCTTTGCACTTCTAAAAATAAAAATAGTTCTGAAGAGTCATCTATAACATCTTATAGTTCTTCTGAATTAAATACCCTAGATGAACAGGAACATTTTGTTCTTGAGACCATTAATGCCATTACTAATCCTCAAGAAAAAGGGGTACAGTTAAAGAAGTACATTGAGATGATAAAAAAGAATAAGAGTGCCTCTTCTACTCTAACCTTTCCATCTAAAAAGACATCTATGCAAGACCTCAAAAAGGAACAAAAAGAAGTCAAAATTCAGCTTAAAAATATTAAACAAGAAATTTTAACCTTAAAAATATTAGAATTGATGTATTAATCGCACGTGGCAACTCCAATTTTATGATAAAAATGCTAACCAAGCAATATATTTAGCAAAAATTCAAGATTTTGGTCTTGTAGGTCCCATCCTTTCAATGCAAAGTTACAAAATGTAAGGAAACAAACAACCTCTTAAAGGCTAAATTTTAAACTAGCAAGAATAGTTCAATTTGGATTTAACTTTTGCCAAATCAAAAAGAAAATAACAGGTCAAAGTTGTACCACCTAAAATAAGTTTTGTGAAGTTGCTAAACACACCCTAATTCCTATGCTCTATGGAGGACAAGGGAAATAAAACAAGGGAAAACAATGTAAAGGAAAGGAAAAGAAAGGAGAAAAATGTAATAATCTTGTTTGGGAGTTGAGTAAAGGAAATGGAAGGTGAATCACTTCTTAGATATTAGATTTGTATCATGACGGTCTACGAAAATCCACCTCATCTATGCCCTACTTTGGGGGTTAACCAAATAATATAGAATGGAAGCTAAGAAATGTAAAATCCATTAGTTCCCTTTCCCTCCATTCTCTTTTATAGCCTGTTTGGATGGAGGGTAGAGAAGAGAAGAGGAAGTGAAATTTTGGTTTAGCTTTGTTTGGGAGAGTACCATTTGGGGTAAAGGAGGAGAGTGAGATGAAAAATTAAACTAAAATCTTATCTCCAAATTGAGGGGTAAAAAAGAAGAAGGGAAGGGAAGGAAACAATTTCCCTTCATTCCCTTTTCTTATAACCTGTTTGGATGGAGGATAGAGAAGGGAAGGGGAATGAAAATTTTAGTTTATATTTCTTTGGAAGTACCATTTAGAAAGGTAAAGAACGAGAATGAGAGAAAAAATTGAACAAAATCTTACTCCCCGAATTTAGGGGTAAAGAAGGGGCCCTTAGTCATCTTCGAAACACACCATTAACAAAACTCACCAATAAGGTTAATTCATTTAGAGACTGTTTGTTTCACCATTTTTAATGGAAAAGGAATAAGATTTGTGTCTGACGACGCTAAATTTGTAAATAAAGGATTCTTTATGAATCCTATTCTTGAGTTTGGTTCCCAAAAAATTCTTAGATTTCAGAATCTATAAAGTTAAAAAAGTATGCTGATTTTATAGAAACTCAAATACTAATGATTTAAGCGGATTTAGGACAGAAAGCTGACGCATTTGTACTATTCTCCCTCTTTTTTTTCGGAGTTCGTTTCTTCACAAACCCTATATCTATTTCTTTATACAAATAGGAGGATCAAAAGAATAACGGTTCATGCTACAGTAAATACTACAGTAATATTTACTGTATCATTATCACTGTAGCAAACAAGATATTGGATACTCTAGCAATTTTTTTTAAAAAAAACTGCAGCACACGGGAATCTATTCCTTTATACAAATAGGAGGATCAAAAGAATACCTGTTCATACTACAATAAATGCTACAGTAATATTTTCTGCAGCATTATTACTGTAGCAAACATGATATGGGATACTGTAGCATTAAAAAAAAACCTGTAGCACACGGGAATACTGCAGCATTTTTAAAAACTGTAACAGAGGAGGGAACTGTAGCGAGTAAAAAATTACTGTAGCATTAAAAAAAGGGATTACTATAGCAAGAAAAAATAAATAATGAAATGCCGTGCTTTGCACGGTGTTCACGACTAGTTATTATGAAACCAAATTCTATTCTCATTTCAAACCAAACTAAAGAATAGGAATTGAAGGGTTTCTATAAATGTGGATTCTATTTTTTCATATTATGAAACAAACATAAAAATAAAAAAAGATTCCATAACAACATAAAATTATCTAAATTTTTTTATGAATCAGCTAGGAATCCATAAAAAAATATGGGATTCCTAATCTTGGCCAGCATTGAACCAAACACCCCTTTTAACTTACATCCCGTGCTCCTCATTAACACCACCCAAAAGACCAGACGGGGCCCTTGTACCTTCCGCACCCTTATCTTGGTTCTTTCAAAACGCTCTCTATTCCTGAGCAGGTTGAAGGTTCCAGTAGAATGAAGCGCGAGCAAATCATAAAATGATCGATCGACAGAGAGTAGACGAAGAGACGACGTAGCCTCAATGAGAAGCTCACTAATCTCTTCCTCCTCTTCCTCTTCCTCTTCTCCTATCGTCGCCGCCCGAAACAAGAAGCCCGACCAACAAAAGGTTACTCCTTTTTCTTCCTTTCTTTTTTGTTTGGGTTTGCAAAGCTTTAATTTTATGCAACTCGATGTTATGCTATCTCTGTTGCTATTGTCTTCAATAATAAAATATGTGATAGTTAATAACGCTCAGATTTGTAAACCCATTTCCATTGCGTACGATGGTGATATCGCCTACAATTCTGACCCAATTCGTTATATCTACTACGATGCCATGATTTTCTGTCTTTTCTTTGTTTTTGTTTGAAGATAAATTTGTTACTTTAGTATGCTGCTTTGTAAGATTAGTCACATTGAGACCTTTGATGCAACTCATGATCCCTGAGCTCTTCAGACTTCAACTAATATCCTATTGATACTATCATGGTGATACTTTATTTTTTGTGAAGTAGGATAGTGATCTCAATGAGAAATCCCCTAACTCAATATCCTGTGCATTAAGCAAAACTAAATTTGAACTCAATTAAACCACATAGTGTGAACTTTGTGCTTTAGTTGGTCTATTAGGAGGAAAAATTGCACATGGTAAGCCACTACTCCGACATGTGAAATTGTGAAGATAATGTTTTCAATTGCATTATACAAATCTGTAAGGAGATTTGATGACCAAGCAAGTCATTGCTAGTTCTCGAGTGTGGACCCAAACCAAGAATTCGCTTAGTTGGATCCAAGTTTTATTTGTGGGGCATCTTTCTTACAGAAGCTGGAAACATGATTTGGATTTTATGCAGCAACCTTAGCAGATTTGCTGTTTCACTCAATACCTCCTAGCTGATTTTGTCTACAAAAACTTCTTCTAGAGTTTGTAACTTCAATTTGAGGTTTAGAAGGAATGCATGCTTACAAGATGAAGTCTACAGATGATGACTTCTGTAAATTGTTGCTTACCTATAAAAGTGAGTGTAATATAGTTGAAGTTGTGCATGCTACCAATATATTTCTCATAAGATTATCAAATAATCAAGAGTGTGGATAGAAGCAAATAAAATATTGAGATACCCCTTATTCTGTCTTCTTTTGAACTTTCCCCAGTTTAAATTGTTTGTTGAATGATTTTTTTTACTGCTAATTGTGGTTGAACGAAGTACCAACTTAATGGAAGAGATGTAATACATTGTAGATAACTTTTAGTAGAAGGGCATATGGTGCCTGTCCTCATGTTCACTAATGAAGTTATCAATTTGATGAGAAAGAAGTTATCTGTTTGATGAGTACGGAGTTTAGTCATAGATGGACTCAAAATATTCACATTAATCACCTTGTCAATTGATTTTCTTGGCTCTCCGGTCAAGAAAATTTTGAAGTTTGTGTATAGGATGAAGTGTTGTGACGAGCAGAAGCAGACAAAGGTATAGAGTGGCAGTGGGAGTTAGTGCCATGGCAGGACTGGTCTATGAAAGAATCTAATTGAATTTAGAATGGCATAAGTATAATGTAAACATGTCCTTGTTTCTCTATTCTTGGAAAATAAGAAACCATGTAGTAAATATTTAGTGCTGCTTAACATGTGAAATGCGTCTCCTTTGCAGGATACTGGAATCTATAGTATGTTACATGGCATTGCAGATATGCCTATATTATGACGAAGACATTCGACTGTACTTTTACTATAAAACAAGCAATCAGCTTAACTTTTTTATTCATAATTCATGGCATCAGTTTTATCTTTTGCTATCCACAATCAAAGGTTGATGTCTTTAATATATAAGCATTTTCTATTTGATGCAATGGAGATATAGAAATTTTTTTAAGGTGTAAGTTTCAAAAAAACCCCTTTAAGACTGACCATTGTTGAGATTCTCTCACTATCTATTTTAATTCCTCAAAACCCCTTGCCTTTGAGGGGTTCTTCTCATCACGTCCTAGTACATCTATTCAACTAAACCCATCGAAGATTGTTAACCTTAACCCCCTAAAGCAAAAAGGTGAAAATACCCTTGATTCCTAAAAGTAATGAAATAATATAAAAATAATAAAATAGTGGTTTTTGAGGGCTGAGGTGTATTTTCTTCTTTTTTGATTGCACGCTTGGCATGTGACATGTTATAGATTTAATGGTGTTACTTTTGGGGGGTTAAAGTGAAAAATCTTCAAGAAGTTTAGTGCAATGTAAGAAGTTCAGAGGGTTTATGTGATAAATCCCTCAATGTTAAGAGGGTTTTTGTAAAATGAAATTAGTTATTGGTGGTTATCGAAAAACGAACAAACTTAAGTGGGTTTTGTGAAATTTACCCTTGTTTTAAGACTTGAAGCCTCTGATATTTTCTGCAAGTGATGTTCTTGTTGGAAGGTCTGGTAGTATCCTCAACTATTCATGATATATCAAATAGGAGAAGAACAAAGAAATCTAAAATTTTAAGTTTTTGAATTACAATGTGAATGTTACAGATTAAAGCATTGACGAAACAGGACGAGATACAAGGTTCCAGTTAGACTATAAAGTTATAACCCTTAAACCTGACCATAACTTTGGAATATTGGTGTAGTAGGAAAAATAGCCTTTATTTTTAAGAAGCAGCTAAATCGAGGTATAGAATAGGAAAACCTTCATTGTAGTCCTCTCCTAGTTCATCAGGACAGTAAAGTGTGCTTGGGTGTTTGATTGATTGTACTGTTCATGGTTTCAAAATTCTTTCTAATTGCGGTAAACTATCAACTTTATTTTTTCATTTGTACCAATATAGTTCTCCATTGGCAATTTGGCATGCATATGCGATTTCTTTGATCAGTGATCAGCTATTTCTTTGAACTAAAGATTAGGAGGCCTATGCTTAGTGGCAGATTCAGGATTCAGGACCCATGGGCTAGTGGGTTCGATAACTAACTGTGGGAGCAATATTACAACTAGGTCTCAAGAACAAAATAATTCTCTGTGGGAACATTTGCCCATTTTTCTCGACGTGACTCCACCACTGCCTATACTTGAGATATCTTCCTACATGCATCCGTTAGAGAGTACTGCCATTTGTAAACTTTGTCATCTTCTTTACTTTTCTAGAGTTCTTTCTGACCAAATAGAACTTGTTAGGTTGCTCCTTTGTTGAATATCTTTAAGTGCATGCATGATTCATGCTCAGTCAGGTAATGTTATCCTGCCAATTGATGATCCATATTTTATAGCTGATACCTTCATTTTCCCATTATTGGCTTATTTGGGCATCAACTCAAGTTAAATAGTGTCAGGTTAATCTGTCTAAAAAGTTTATATACCTTTATGCAGAGCTTCTATACTGTATATTATTTGGTAAACAGAAAACAGATGACATTTGCAACGAAATTGGAAATAAGAATTATCTTACACGATCAAGTTGCAGGATCTAATGAAGTTATAGCATCTCAGAAATCTTCCCCTTGAAGCTTCATGTGCTTGGATCATAATCTGTCGCATAATGTTGCCTTTGGATCAAACTTGTGCCTGATTGGCAAAACTTAATCAACTTGGCATATGGATTGATGCAGTAAATAAAATATTATTATAATTGATTGTCTTAAGAAATAGTAAGAATAGCATTACAATTTTTTTCTTTCTTTTCTTTCAGGCTTCTGAGCAAGCTCCTCCAAGAATTACATCAAATGTGAAGCAAAATTTGCAGTTTTTAAAGCTATGGAGGGTAAGATGTTTATATATCTGTTTGACTTTGTATTCTGTTCTCTGACTATTTACATTTGTAGCTTACATATCTGCCTCCACCCAGATGAAACCCCCTTCATTGGATTAACAAAAGCTGGTTGTTAGATTGGTGATTCTTTTGACTTATTTAGATAGGTTATTCTTGTTTTCTTATCAACTGGTTTCTGCAGTGAAATCCCATTATTTTTAATTAGACACATTAGGTTTTGAGATCCAGTACTCTTTCTCAGAACTGACTTACTGTAAACAGATGCTGTGCTTCTCTGTTGCATGGGTATGGTTATAGGTGCCTGTATGGGTACGGGATATAGAAAATTTGTAAAAGCGGCTATATAAATATTTATACACACATATATTATGTATTAGAATTTATAATTTATCTGAGAACAAGGATGATAATTAAAAGTCCTATAATAGTTTTATGTTTCTTTTATTACGTGGATTATAAATTGGAAAATCACTAGTTTTTGAACTAGACATCCAAATGACTCTTCAATGTCATGATTTGGAACATGACTTGTGTCTTGGACACAAGTTTGAAGAAGTGGCTGTGAAGTGTAGGATTTATGTCCAAAATATGTCTTATAAGTGTTTTAAATTAAAACATGTATTGTATAATTGAGTACATGCCTGAATAAATATATGCATTTATTTGAGAAGTGTGCAAAGAGTTTGGGTACAGGTATGGGGATGGGTACGCGTTGGGTATGGGTGCGACTTCAAATTAGAAGTACCAAGGTAACATAGTTGTGCTCACATCCTTCTTTTCTGCTAGAATTCATTTAGGAGTTCCAAAAGCAGAAGTCATATACACCAAAGCCTGCCACTAGTTATCGCAAAAAGAAGGTAGTGAAAGCGGAGCTTCCACAAGACACCGAGCTCTATGAGGACCCTACCAACCTTTACTAGTCAGTGCCTTCTTCTCTTTATGGTTACTGAATCTGTTACTCTTGGAAAAACATCATTGACCATTTGAATTCTAAGGTCGCTGTTAATTCTTTTGTAGCACAAATCAAGGGTTGGACACTGCTATTCCAGTTCTTCTTGTAGATGGTTATAATGTCTGTGGTTATTGGGCTAAGCTGAAGAAGCATTTCATGAATGGAAGGCTTGACATTGCTCGTCAAAAGCTAATTGATGAGTTGATCACCTTTAGTATATTGAAAGGTTTGTTCTAAAAGATTTGTATGTAGTATGATCTTTTGTTGGCTCTATCCCAACTGTACGATTTAGAGTCTGCTACTGCTTTATTCACTGTGGATCTGCACACATAGGAAAGATGATGCTGAATGAACTTTGTCATTAAGAACATTGGCATATGAGTTTTCACCTTATGGAATTTTTCTTTAGGATATATGTAGATAATGGGAGTCATACTTTATATGTGTTATGTGTACGTCAATGATGACCTTATGAGTACTTTAATGATGACCTTATGATTATTTCACTTACGACTTCTTTCTTTGCAAGCTGTACAGAAGTAAAAGTAGTGGTGGTATTTGATGCTATGATGTCTGGACTGCCAACCCATAAGGAAAATTTTGCTGGGTATGTCATTTTCTTTCTATTGCAATTTATTTATTTATTTTGCTGTTCGATATGAACCAAAATGTTTGTAGTATTTGCTCCATGATGATCTTTTATTTCTATTTACCAAACTTTTCTCATCTTTGAGTGCAATATTGCTAACAAACAACATCCACCATTACTTTTATTTCACCTGTAACTACTGCAAAGAAATGTTGACCTATTGCTGACCTTTGATCTGGATAATGGGCGTCTTCTCTATGATTATTCTCAAGATGGTTACAACTCCATTCGATGTGTTCTTATGACATAAATATAACTTTAAAATACTTGTTTCTTTTCGTGCGCATCTTCCTACGGACCTTATTGTTAGTTTTCTAAATTGATAAACCAATAACTCAATCTCTTTTCTTCTCTTTATCTTTCCAAGAACCTGGCTGTAAGTTTTTGAACAAAACATTACTTAAATCTCTGTCCTTCTATTTATCGGTCTTCATCAATCATCTGGTAAACCTTCATGTTGTAAAACCAAATTTATCTTCGACGCTATCAGTTTTTTCTTAGTACATCCTTGATTACTCCCTCTTAAGTTTAATGCATGACTCATGCTTGATACCTTTATAGTTTTTTACTGTGCAGAGTTATTTATAAAAATAGTTACTAAAGTGCCTCTGTTCTAGTCACACCATTTTTTGTGCTCCAGTCATATGCGATTTTTCAACTTTGTAGAATTCAGTTGGGATGTCATAAGTGGTACAGTTCATGCAACTCTCTGTTTTCTACAACTCATATCAGTTCACTAATCTTTATTTTATGACGATATGTACAAAGGGGTCGCTTAGTAAACTGCAGTTGCAATTTGCAAAAAAGGCAGCTATAGTTCCAGTTCTTTGTTTCCTTGTGCAGTTGTAGTTTTTCACAATTATACTTGGCACTTTTTACCAAAATGACTTGGTAGTTGGCTGCAACTTGTTCTTACAAATATTGACCTTTTACGCAATTGCATTTATAAAAAGACTGCAGGCAAAGAAACAAACAGCTGCTACTGTAACCGCAACTATATTTTGCAAATTGCAGCTACAGTTGCAGCTAGAATTCTATACGTGCCAAATAGCCCCAACATATAATCCTTTGCATGGTTTGGTTCTTCTGGTCTTGGTAGGTTATAATTTTAAGAGCACAATATGATTCTCATAAGAGAAACCTATGCGAGTAACTCTTTTCACCTTTTCTAATTTCTTCTTCCTTTACTAGGACTCTCTGGTCTTCACTATCAATACATTTAACCAGTTTAGAAATTTGTTTGGGCACGTGCTTAGGTGTCAATCACAGCATATGGCTACAATTTCAGGTGTTAAGAGAAATCGGTTTGGGCATTCAAATTGTAGTTGCATAGATAAATTTGTTACAATGTTATTGATTTAGGTTTAAATTTTAAATTAAAGTTCAATTTGCATCTAAATTCTAGCAAGATAGGATTATTTGCATAGGCTTTTCTGATCTTTGCTATCATTACTTGTTTATGTCAGATAGTTAATTTTAGGGTAATTAGATATTTGGAGGAGTTTAGGGTCCATTGATCTTCTTTGATGGCTAATTAACTAAGGGGAAGAAGTAGATTCCTATACAGGAAACACCTGTTATAGGGCCGGAGTTTGTTGCTCCGGCGTGCCTTCCAATGTTCAAGTCAATAGTAGATTAAACGAATTTACAGAATCTAGTTTGAGGGAGTAGGGAGTAAGTTTGCAGTTTTTTGCGTACCTTCAAATAGTGGAGATTTCCTATTACTTAAAGAGGGTTGGTAGGTGTACATCGCTAATTTGATCGGGTTGGTGCAATCGATTGAAGGAGTCACCTTCGTGTTTAATGCGACAGTGATAGAACAACTTAAGTGCTGGCGTGGTCCGAGGAGTCATAACTTCGGCCCGAAGAGTCATGATGACTCAATATTAAATGCGATCGTGATTGAGCGGCAAGGTACGACAGTTGAAGCTAATATGTCATCTCGTTATTCTAGACATTTTCTAACAAGGGTACGAGTGGAAGATGTCTTTCGTCTCGAACCCGGATAATCCTTTTGGCTTACCCTAGCTTGAAGACGTCTTTCATCTCGGACTTGGGCTGTTAGGAGGGTCGGTGATGCTCTCACCTGGGTTGGGCTTTTGGATTAGCAAGACTCGGTCATTTAATTATGACACGTGGCCGACTCTCCAGTATATCATTAGACTTGATAATTCTCAGGATACAATAATACTAGTCTTCTCCAATTCACTTTCTAGCTAGATTCTCTTAAAACTTGAAATTAGATTTAGCACTGAAGGAGGGAGCACGTCCAATCCGTTTCATGCTATCATTATCGTAAACTATCAATTGATTCAGTTCACTCTTGCTTTAGTTAGAAGCTACTATGTTTAGATCATAAAAGAATTCCTTTTGCTACTTTCTAGATACATGTAGACATTTATTATCTATATCCTATTCACCTTTTATCACTCTTGAAATATATTGAGTTATCACCTTTAACTCCCACCATTATTTAGTGGACTCCTTTTATTATTTCTTCATGTTTTTTTTCCATTTCCCAAGAAAAATTGCTAAATTGTCAACTTATGTGAACTATCAACTTATGTTACCTTTTTCAGCTATCTCTTGGAATAAAATTAGGATACTCCATATCTAACCTATCTATCTTGCAAGTGAGAAAAAAATTATTTGATCTAGGTTTAAATAATATTAAATATTTATCTAGTTTCTCAAAACATGTGTATTATTCTACCATTAGGTCACACGGCATTACAAAATCCAAAATCAAGTCATCTACCTGATTCATTACTTTGATCTCCATGCAACTGATGGAGGATGGATTCTGATTGAATTTGAAAATTAAAAAGACGCAACAAAATCACGAAAGTCTACCTCGTAGACAATGTCTATCATCCTCGTGGAAGATTACTTCAACTCACATATTTCTATTAATCAATGTCTATCTTCCTCGTGGAGGATTACTTCTTATGTATATAGAAAAAACTTAATATTAATGGTGACATTAAATAATGAAAATCTTATCTAATAGAACTAAAAATAATCATAACCAAATATCTAACAACTATATCTAACAAGATAAAATCTCAAACTACTAATCCCTATCAACGAAAATAAAATCTAGATGCAACAAAATACTAACTATATTACCAATAAAATAAGTCGTATCTTAAGTTGTATTGCATCAAATCCCCCATTGTTAGAGAAAACCCGATCTCAAGTTTTATAGTGGGAGAGCATGAATTTTTTTGTGACCGATGAGAAATATTGCACTACCGTATGGTTTATAAAATTATATGCATAATTCGATCAGGAGTAGGTGATGGAGGATTTGGATTGATAACCTCTACTATCAAATTACTATAGATTGCATATCTAATATCTCGAACTACACTTCAACTTTGGCCTCGGGCTTTGGATTTGATTCGAGCTCTTCTGGATTAACAGTCTGGTTTGATTTGGACTCTTGTTCAGATTTAGGCTCTAAATCCAAGCCTAAATCTATCTTCTGATTTTTCTCTTTTGATTCCAATTCAGACTTGGTTCTGGATTGATCTTTCGATATGCATATTTTTCTGACTCGCATTCAGATTTAGCTCAGGTTTTGTTGAGGCTCTGTCTCCACTTTTGCTTCTGATTCTATTTCTAGCTTTGTATTGAACTTAGATTTCTCATAGGAGTTAGGGCACTCGTGTTGACTTTGATTTAGGCTTTAAAGATAAACAATAAAATCTTCTAGTTGGTTGAGAAGAGTCTCCTTTCCAGAAAAAAGTTTCATAGGCTTCCATGAACAGGTAACTGAATAATAACCTGAATAATTTATAGACCTTCATTCTTGAGCTTCTTTCTTGAGCCCAAACTTTGCATATAAACACTTATATTTTAGATATTTCATAAATAAGGAATATATCCTCGATATCTTGAATCTAGACTTCAAAATCAAAGGGCTGCTCACATCCATCAAAGTCATAAAAATAAGATAAAGGACCAAACTATAATGGATTGAAATTGTATTGTTGTGAAGGAGGAAGTAGATTGCCCATAATAATCATGGATTACATGAACGTGCTCTGATACCAAATGATGAGGGACGAATTCTGATTGAATTTGATATTTTTAAAAATAGATCGGATGGTTGTCGGAAGATGATGAACAATACTTGGTAAACAATAATCACTGAACAATGTCAGGTGATCAGTGACGTATTTTAAAAAGAAATCTAAGATAAAAACAGATAAATTAGATTAGACAGGATTCACTCACAACATCAAACCTATAAACCAACGGCTTCACGCTTAGCAACTCATGCTTCAAAGAGAGATTTCTGAAAGTCACATATTTCCATTAATCAATGTCTATCTTCCTCATGGAAAATTACATCTTATTTATAAGAAAAAACATAATCTTAAAGGTGACATCAAATCACTAAATTCTTATCTAATAAAACTGAAAATAATCATAACCAAATATCCAACAATAATATCTAAAAAGATAAAAGATCAAACTACTAATCCCCATCAACTAAAATAAAATCTGGATGCAATTGAAATTGAGATTTGAGAGCGAGTATGTTGTCTGAGAGCGCACGTTAAGGGCAATTCCTTATCGTGCTCATCGCTCACGATTCTCTCATTTCCTAGTGATTTTCAGGTGTCTATGGGGAGGAAAAGGAAAGTTCTAGGTTGCTATGCTTCGTCAACGTCGTCTTCTAACGCGAGGCCTAGTGGATCTAAGAGATCTCATATTCTTCCTATCTCGTCTCCTCCAAAGATGAGACCTAGTGGATCAGAGAGCTCTCCGGTTCTAAATGTTCTATCTCCATCATTTCTCTCAATGAGACCTAATGGATCTATGATCCAAGATCAGATTGTAGCTCAAAATTATGATTTGAATGTTGTTGAAACCCCTTTGTCTGGACCAAAAGACCTAACTAGGGTCAGGGATTTTGGATCGGGGGCTTCCATCATCTCGATGAACCC